GGTTTTTGGGGGGTTTTTTTTTTTTTTTTTTTTTTTGCGGTACGCGGGCCTCTCAGTGTTGTGGCCTCTCCCCTTACAGAGCACAGGCTCCAGACGCGCGCAGGCTCAGCGGCCATGGCTCACGGACCCAGCTGCTCCGTGGCATGTGGGATCCTCCCAGACCAGGGCACAAACCCATGTCCCCCGCATCGGCAGGCGGACTCTCAACCACTGCGCCACCAGGGAAGCCCTATGGGAGTTTAAAACATGGAATTTTAGAATTTAATTCATGATTGCTTGCTGATTTTATCCCAGATAGAAACATAAATCCTAGATAAGTAACCCATATCAGTGTTTCTTTAATAACTACATTCTAGAAGTATAATGCTATACTAGAGGTTGAGGCAGAGGGAAAAAGAGGAATTACAGGTTACAGGTAACCTTTCTGTTCTTTTCTAGACCTGTCCTCTTAGATTCCTTAGGAAAACCAGACTAAAGAACTCATTTGTAGCATTTGATTTATTTGCAAGTATTTGAAAAGCAGCCCAGAGAATAGATTCTGCTGAATCTTAAAAGGAATTCTAATGAACCTTATAATTCCCATAATAAGTAAGAATAAAGAAATTTGAAACATGGAAGTTTCATGTTTCCTGTTTCTTTTTATATCCTTGAGAAACCCTTATAAAATGCGTTGATGTGAAAACATTATTATTTTAATTCCATTGATCTATGTATCCAGTAGAGAATTTAAAACATATAAATAAGAATTTATTACAAAATTCATTTGAGGGAAAAGTCAAGTCGTTGCTTCCATAAACTAAGTAGTTATTTCTGCCCTTGATCAGAGTGCAGGTTTAAGGGAATGTAGTTAGATTTTTCACAAGTTTAGAAAGAATTCTTCAAGAGCTATTTGAAGGAAAGTATCACTCTCTCATTATACTCAGGGCCATATGTATTATACTAGTTAAGCAAGTGTGGAGATAAAATCAAGGAACATCTGAAGCTGTGTTGCATTATACATAAAGCCATATAAAAACATTGTGGGATTATCATTGCTAATAATAAACTGGGGTCCAGAGTGGATCAGGCCATGTTTTTCAGCATTAGGTTAATTTGATTTCTGTTTGTGAGTAGCATTTAGAATTATTTTAAATGCCCTAAAATTAAATAGAAGCAAAATAACCAGATTTGTGTTTTATGAATATATAATTTTGGCTATAGTGTGGGTGATAGATTGAAGGTGGAAGAGAAAATGGTCAGTTAATGGTAATCCTTCTGAGGACACAGGCTTCCATGGAGGTAGCAAGAAGTATGGAGAGGAAGAGGTATTTACTAAAAGAAGAATATGCAGAGAAACTAAGCAGAATGAAGGCAAAAGGTGGCATTAACCTTTAATATTTCAAGAGAGTGGTTGGAGTGGCAGTGGCACTGGATAAAACAGGGCAAATCTTAGGGAAATTTTATTTGTTTAGTGTGGAGGAAGAAGGAGACAAAGATTACTGTTGGTTTTTGACTTAAATGAGAAGATGTTACCATTAACTGAATAGAAACCTGTCATGTGGTCACTTGTTCATTCAGTACATAGTGTAAGTTCTGAAAAGAGAAATTTAAATGGATTTGTAATTATGTTGCAAGGTAGATGAGATCTTCACCTGATCCCAGTGGGTTGCTTGTGCCAGTGGTTGGATGGAAAGGAAAGGGAAATTTGTAAAGGACTAAGAACACTTTCTTTTCCTTTCTCTTTTTAATTAATAGGCTTTATTTTTCAGACCAGTTTTAGGTTTATACAAAAATTGAGCAGAAAGGATAGAGTTCCCATATACCTTTACACGTACACAGACACACACACAGAGCATTTCCCTATTTTTTTTTAACCTGAGGTATAATTGACATATAACATTATATTTCAGCTGTACAACATAATGATAGTTTCCCCTATTATTAGTATTATTAATATGATATTTTTCACAAGTCTAATGATTAATTAGTGTTATTTCCCCTATTATCTTGCTTTACTGTGGTACATTTGTTACAACTGAGGAACCAATACTGATACATTACTAACTAAAGCCCATTGTTTACATTAGAGTTCACTCTGTGTTCTATAGTTCTGTGGGTTTTGACAAGGGCTTAATGTTATGCATTCTCCATTACAGTGTCACAGAATAGTTTCACTTCCCTAAAAATACCCTGTGCTACACCTGTTTATTCCTACCCTTCTCCTTCCCCCTATCCACAAACCCTTAGAAACCACTGATCTTTTACTATCTGTATAAGTTTTGGCTTTGTCCAGAATGTCATATAGTTGGGATTATGCCAGTATGTGTCTTTTTCTGCCTGGCTTTTTTCACTTAGCAATATGGTTTTAAAGTTCCTCTGTGGTCATACAGAGTGAAGTGAGTCAGAAAGAGAAAGACAAATACCGTATGCTAACACATATATATGGAATCTAAGAAGAAAAACAAATGTCATGAAGAACCTAGGAGTAAGACGGGAATAAAGACACAGACCTACTAGAGAATGGACATGAGGATATGGGGAGGGGGAAGGGTAAGCTGTGACAAAGTGAGAGAGTGGCATGGTCATATATACACTACCAAACGTAAAATAGCTAGTGGGAAGCAGCCGCATAGCACAGGGAGATCAGCTCAGTGGTTTGTGATCACCTAGAGGGGTGGGATAAGGAGGGTGGGAGGGAGGGAGACGCAAGAGGGAAGAGATATGGGAACATATGTATATGTATAACTGATTCACTTTGTTATAAAGCAGAAACTAACACACCATTGTAAAGCAATTATACTCCAATAAAGATGTTAAAAAAAATAAAAAAATAAAGTTCCTCTGTGTCTTCATGGCTTGATACCTCATTTCTTTTTATTGCTGAATAATATTCCATTTTCTGGATGTACCACCAGTTTGTTTATCCGTTCACTTATTGAAGGATATCATTGTTGTTTCCAAGTTATGGCAATTAGGAATAAAGATGCTGTAAACATTCATTTGCAAGTTTTGGGAGGTATATAAGAATTCTACTCATTTGGGTAAATACCTAGGGGCATGATTTGTGGATTGTGTATGTTAATTGGTGATATATAGGAAAGCAATTGACTTTTGTGTATTTACCTTGTATTCCATAACCTTGCTGTAATCACTTAATAGTTTCAGGACTTTGTTGTCAATTCTTTAGGATTTTCTATATAGATAATCATGTTGTCTGAAAATACAGTTTTACTTCTTCTCAGTCTGTATACCCTTTCTTTTCTTTTTTTCCCCCCGTCTTATTGCATTAGCTAGGTCTTCCAGTCTGATGTTGAAGTAGTGAGAGGGACATTCTCCCTTGTTCCCAACCTTAATGGGGAAGCCTTTACTTTCTCACCATTAAGTATCATGTTAGCTGTAGGTTTTTGTAGATGTTCTTATCAAGTTGATAAAGCTCACTTCTATTCCTAGTTTGCTGCGAGTTGTGTTTGTTTGGGGTTTTTTTTTTTTTTTTTGAGAGTTTTTATCATGAATGAGTGTTGACTTTGCCAAAAGAACACTTTTTTAGACAGTAGTGATCAAAAATGGATAAAAGGCCAATATAGCAAACAAATTCAGTATGTAAAGGCTTGAAGAGCAATATGTTAATGTTAAAAAGAAATATAAAGAGATACCCAGCATATGCCATTTCCATTTGAGCAGATTATCTTTAGTTCTTAGATCTGTTAGTTCTTGGACACAGGATTCCTTCCAGGATTCCCTAGGTATAACAGGGAAAATGAAGGAAAACAAGCATTTGCAAAAAATAATTCT